TAGATCGTTAGCATATACAATTTGCTTAAAAGGAAGAATATAGTTGGCTGACTAGTTCGACTTTCACTTCATATCACTTGTAAAGTAGTTCTGTAACTAATAGTTTTCACTGGAAAAAGTTATACGTTATACCATTTTTGCAGTCTCTTCGCTTACTTTATTCTTTTTTACATGTATCGTACGTACAACAAAAAGTCTATTATCGAAAAAAGTTGTAAATCAAATCGCCGGCTGCAAAATTTTGACTGATAGGTTCATAAGTGTACAAAGATTTTAGAATATGTGGGTGTATGAGTATGTGTTGTTGTGCAGACAGGATACACCCCGACAGAAAGTAGTCTAATGATAGCCACTTAACAGAGTCTTCATAAGATTCGATCACCAAAGTTCTCCACTGTGTGGCACCAAAATGTCGCCAGTCAACTTCTAGTAGTCCTATCATTGATATTTATGGACCAATAATCTCCGGCATACAAACCACACCAACATACTTTGTTCGCTCTTTTCATACGAGAATTCACGTTCACGTCATAAATGTGTGTTCTAGCTAAAGACGATTTGACGGTACAAACAGTAACTTAAGTTTATCGCATAGAACACGAGATTTCCAAAATAACCTTGTAAGTAAACCGAATATAAATGTCCAATACATGTGCTTAACTAGTTTAATCGCTTCTCCTATAAAATTGTATATACCTATAAAAACACCCTATATTATTATTAAATTGTGTAAGTAATGTCCATACTTTGTACAGCAAATACAGAATATTTTTTCACATTTGATAAGTTCCAGGTAACCAGCACAAATAACACAATGAGACTTCAGCCGTCTTAAGCTGCTAATTAATGCCTATCAAATTATATTCAAAGCATTACATATTTGTATATAAGCACATGCATACATATATAATAAGTAGGTATTAACACCGGGATAAATAACAATTTAACTAAGTATGATAGATAATCGATTCCTGAAGTGCAAATATTTGATTAAATTTTCCTAATTAGAAATTGAGCAAATTTCGAGAATATTTACAGGTAAATAAAAAAAGTCACATTTAATAATACTAATTTCACTCAAACACCTAAATAAACAAGCACAGTTCGTTTGGCATTTTGCCAGCAATTTAAACATTTTAATGCAGGTCGATAAAAATGCAAATAATCGGAAAATCCAACAATTAAAATAGAAATTTATTTGTGAATTTTCATATAACACAAAAACACAATTTAATAATGACTTAGCTAATACTTTTTTCAAATAATATAAATTCTGCAAAGTAAATAGTTAACAAATTCAATTTTGTATATGTATTTGGGACTTTCAGATGATATGTTTATCTGGCAATTAGATGATACGAGTATTAATATATATAAAAAAGAGTGGAATTTGGTGTCGGTTATAACAGTACGAGGACATTCTGGCCGGGATCGGGTTAAAAATGTGCGATCTATTACTGCCAATAAAGATAAAATAAAGATCGTTTTTAAGTTTTCCGTTCTTGTTAGTATTTTTTGGCCCTGTGTTACTTTTATAGTGAAAAACCAATGCATATAGCATATAAGCTTCATATTTGCGATGACTGGAATTTCCCACCTACTGAACAATTAGTGTGTTTTATCTCAACGTAAATTTTAGTTCATTTAACTACACACAGAGTCGAGTAAAACAAGTCTTAGAACCAGTCATGACAGATGTTGACATTAAATGGGCTTTATCGTATGTGTCGTAGCATGTTTATGGGATATTGAAAGAAGTCTTTCTCAGCTCATTAACTTTCTCAATGAACAAGCAACATAGTTCATACAATCTCAGAAAAACTATGGGAAAATTATATTTCGTGCGGGTATAAGCAATAATTAAAGGCAATAACTCGTCTTCGAGAGACGGATTCGAATTAGTACCAACCGCTTAAAGCTAAGCATTATAGAAAATACCACGGGACATCGTCGTCTATTATCGCACATGCTAAAACACTGAGAAGTTAAATCCATCGTTTTCAACCCAATATCGACATTATTTATATTATATGTATTATTCCCTCAAATAATAGCTGCTCAATAAGGAAAAAATATATGTATATTTCAAATGACTCATTCCACGAGTAATTTGATTGTTACTTAAACTGACACCGGAACTCTGTGCGGCACCACCTACGCTGCGTGTGAGTACACGAGAGCAAATTTATGAAACAGCTATACCATATATAGTAAGCAGCCGACTATAAACGATTTTTTTTTTATATAATATAAGTGGCGACCATATAGGGGTATCAAATTGAGTCAGGAAAATATGATAAACAAGTATTTTGCAAAACAATGGGAAATAAAATAAAAACAAAAATGTTTGTATACAAAACTGTTAGCAACCACATAAGCGTAAAAGCGAATGGGAAACAAAGCAGTCATCAGCATTGAAAATGTGGTTACCCTGCCATTTGAATAAGATTGTGTTGCCAGAGAGGGAGAAGAGTGCAGAAAAAAAGCGAATGGCTGATCGTTTGAACAATTGAGCGATTGACACTGATTGTGCAGCTATGCAATTCGAGAGGAAATTGGTGAGAAAGTGAGCCATTGCTGCCGTCGGTCGGGAGAGAAAAGGCCTTATGCACAAGCAAGACTCCACAGAGGGTGATTGACTTGTGTAGATGACAAATATCGGTTCTGCATGCTGCAGCAATGGCTGATTGTTAAAATCACTGAATGACGCGAATCACCGGGGAACGAGAGAGCACAAATTGCACGGTGCAGATTCCAAATGCACTTTGAGCAGAGGTTAGTTGTTGCAAAAGCACAAACAAAAAATACTGGCAGGCTAGCAATTGAAATGTTTTGCGTTTGTGTATTTTTCTGTTTAATTCTCGTTTTATTGCGGTGTCACATTCACAGGTGAATGACGCAAAACGTGAAATGATCCGTCCAACAACTGTGTTTGTATGATCGTGTGTGTGTGTGTATCTAGAAGGCATTTGAAAAATTCGTATTTTATTGACAGGAATGCCTACGCATTTGACAAACGGCAATTAAAAGTGGCTTGCAGCATGTGGCATGTGTGCGGGCATGCTGCCGCAAAGCAAAAATTGAAAGCTGTCACTGTTTCAGTTAGCGAAATGGTTGCTGGATATGCTGGTAAACCGGTTGGTTGTTGCTCTATGCTTGGCCAGGCCAGACTTGTCGGCTGTGTGGCACTAAATGATTGGCTAGTTGACTGGTTGCAGCGATTGACTACAAAAACGTTTGGGTGCAGCCAACTTTTGACATCACGATGCCAATTTCATAGCACATACCACTTTACGCCAGTTTGCATTAGCCTCACAGAGCGGGTTACAGTCCAGCCCTTGCACGTTTGGTTGGAAAGTAGGCGCAACCAGCGAATGGATTTAGTCAGTCAAAGAGTCGTGCAGGTTGTTGCAAGCATTAAGACTGTGCTGACACATTTAAAGCAAAAAATCAAAAAAGATTTTACAGATATTTCCAGGAAGCAACAGAAAAACATATTTACCCGGCTACTTTCAGTTTTGCTTTCGTTTTACTTAAGTGAATGTGTAAGCTTCTGATTGCTTTCGACATAACAGCAAATGCAACTCAAATTTTGCTGAAGTTTTCATTGTTGCAGACAATGTGTATTTTTTTCACGGTACGATGGTTATTGCCTAATGGTATTTCAATTTATCTCTCAACTTAGTTTCGACATCTCTTTAAAGCTAAGTAAGTATATTTGGTGATAAGGTGAAGTAAAGTTAAATTGATGCAAAACGTATGACAACTACTTTAATTTATTATTTACTAAATTCATAACGAAATTACCAAAAATCGGTTTTTACATACATACGCTATAGTTTCGGAGACATACCGAAGTTTTTTAATTTTTTGAATTAGTGTAATCGGCTACTAAAACTTTAAACGTTTCTTTTCAAAGCGATGTTTTTAGAGTCGGAAAATTTCTACCAGACGACCTTACCTATCAACTTGAAATTTTCATACGATCTGTTAGATATGATTTTCAGCTAATGATCGAAGGAACAAGATTTTTATAAACTAAACTCGATTTAGCCATGTTCGTCTGTCTTGCTGTATGTACACGAACTAGTCTCTTAGTTTTTTATACATCGATCTGAAATTTTGCACACATCCGTTTTTCCTCAATGAGCTGCTCATTTGTGGGAACCGCGGATATCGGAACACTGTAGCATATATTTGCCATACAAACTGAACGATTGGAATCAAGATTTTGCATGGAAAACTTTTTCATTTAACGAGATATCTTCATGAAATTTGGCATAGGTTATTATCCAATACATCGCTACCCATTCTTGTCAAGCAAATCTCAGAGGTATGTGGTAAATACATTCATGACCGTTTAGTTCACACTTACGTCGAAACTATTTTAATCAAATAATAGCTTATATAGACCCTAAGCTCTATTTTTATTCTTAATTTGCTTAGTTTTCATACAGGAAAGTATTAATAATTTAGAGACTCATGTATTACAAAAACTCGTTTTATTATTTTGGTGAGGCCAATATTGGAAAATGGTTCAGTGGTACGGAAACCCAGTTACCAAATCTACCCTGATAAGTTAGACTCAGTACAAAAACAATTTTGACTTCTTGTCTGGGGACTTTGACATTGTGAATTTGAGTTAAATGTGCTTCTGTAAACTGGTTGTTTAAAGTCATAAATATATTGTATTTAATTCACAAGTCACAGGGAAATGTTTGACACAATGTTCTTAGAAAAACTGAATGGATCAGTTTGTAGTTAATTTCAGTTGTCTGAAATTTAAATCAATGCGCCAGCTATAATTAAATTATAATTATGAACACATTACGGTGATCTGAGTAAAAAGTGCGAACAATTAAATATCCACCAAATAGTCTACATCTTAAAAAATCGTTAGACTGAGATGAAAAGTAAACTGTAAACCTCATTTCTTCCAATTCATCAAAGGTTTTGTATATACATATATAGAAACGAGTTCAATGGGCTGAGATACTTACTTAATCTTCCAAAGCTGTGCGATAGCCTCTTTTTGAGCTTCTGCAATGCGCCGCCCTTCTTCTCGCGCATTGTCACGCCTGAAATGATAAAACATTTGTGGATAATTAGAAATAGTAATGATAAAAATATTTATAAAATGTAAACAATTTACAATTCTTCTTGGAAAAAAATTTCTGTTATGGATTTAAAATTTCTTAGGAATTCGAAATTATTAAATAATTAATTCAATATGGCCGTTAGTTAGTAAACATAGTATGTACCATCAGATCCAATGTGACTTCGACTGGGTAATTGAAACTGCGCCCGCAAAGCAATTCGATAAAAAAACAGTCTTCCTACATTAGTTATACCTTTTATGTTCGTGTTAGGTTTGAACTCCGTACTTCAATTAGTGTGATTTGCAAGTGTTTCTTTCCGACGCGAAAAGGTCGACTGGTGATTTCTACCATGAAAAGAGATTTTCGAAGAGTTTGCTTGAAATTTTGTGAAACATGGCCCCGGAATTGGCAAAAATGTTGCAGAAGTATTTTGGAGAGTCTACTTTATCACAAATACAAGTATTTGAGTAACACAAAGCATCCAGTGAAGGACGGAGTCATCGAACAGCCTCATTCGTGTCGTCTATCCTCCTTTGCTAATGACGACTACATCGAAAGAGTGAACGAAACAGTGCGTGGAAATCATCATGTTGAGGTCAGAGAATTAACAGAGGATCTCAACATATCTTTTGGATCGACTCAACCATTTGGGTTAATGTCTTGGGTATAAAGCGGGTCAATACTTGACTAGTACCAAAAGACTAGAATCTATTGTAAAAACGAGGTCGAGTAGAGGTCGCAAGAAATGTATTTGACAACGTAGCTGAGGAGCCTACATTCATTAAATGCGTAATTATCGATGCCGAGTTGATGTTCATTGTTTTTTTTTGATTTTGTGGTTCACCATGAATTCGTTACACAGAGTCAAGCGATCAATGAGGAATATTACACTATTTGGCCATGAAGCAGTTTGTGGTAAACAACCGTATTTGTGAGCAGAAAATTCATAAATTTTTCCTTACGATAATGAGGTGCTCAAACACGAAACGAGAGTCATTGTATTTTCCAGTTTTGGCTTCCTCCTCGTTTCGGGGAAGCCGCTCTGAGTCCTTTAAAACCAATAAAACTAATTCACAGAAAGCCGTCCCAGCCGAGGCTTATAGCAAGTGTATGAAACATTGGATTCATTCTTGGCACGCTATCTATTATATTGCCTACGATAACAAAGATTTTTATTAAAATACGTGAAAACGTTTCTTCTTTTGTCAGTCCAGAATGAATTTGATTAGCAGATATGTACGAGTAAAAACGTACGTATATATTAATAGCTCAAATAGTCACCGACATTCTTCCCTTCTTCCCATAGCAACCTATAAGGCGGAGGACCCTCCCGCTAAAATTAAGAGCTCATTCTTGGAGAGAATTTCATAGATGTTTATAAGAACATATTTTGAAGAGTAACAAGTAAAAAAATATTTTTTTTTTTTACCCACCCTAATGTATGTATATATGCACAAGGAGTGTTTAAAATTTATGGCCAATCATCAAATTTACACACATCTGCTTTATTGAGTGTGCTCGGTCTCACAGAAATCAAAAAATCCAATTTATTCTAAATAAAACAACACAAATCATTTAGCAGCCTATAAACATGTACATATGTATATAAACACACACGCACAGATATATATGTGTATCCGCGCAGCCAACCGAGCTCTGCATATTAATTGTTGCCATTTGAGTTGTTGCTGACATGACAGCGGCCAAATCGACTTTGGAAGTTTAACAAAATATTATATTTACATTATGTTAGCTGTGGCATGGATCGGAACGCTTACGAGGACTGCTTAGCGATTGATGGAGGTTTTTCGCTTTTCGGTTGCATATCTGCCGTAGCTGTGGCTGCATGGGCACATACTTATGTATGTATGTATATGCGTAGTTAAACATATATATGTATGCCAAAGAAAATATATGAAAAATTGTACAAATCGCGTGTTTGACTGCTGCAGGCTAGAGAGTATCGTAGACATGAGAGCTGCTAAACATGCAAACCAATCAATCAAATCAATCAAATAAAAACACCAACACATATACATACGTGCATGTAAGTTAAAAATATGTGCTAACATAAAAAATAACAATATTGTTTGAGCATTTATGAAATAAAGTTAGCTTCATGGCCACAGTAGCGCCGTAACCGAGCGCATAAACTTTGTGCAAATCAACACAACCATACAAAGATATAACGGTAGACAAAGGGCGGTAGAAGGGTTCTGCGGACAGGCATGAATGGTTCGTTGGTCAGGCGATGGGTTCGATGGTTTTGGATGTGCAACAGATGCAATGGAATGTGAAAAATAAATTGCACTATAACATCAATCCTTGCCGCTGTTACTGCCACCAGCGGAAAAATAGCAGCGGCACTTTGCCGGCGAGTAGAATAGAAATATATAGTGAAAAGTAAAAGAATGCAAATAATGCTTGCAACCGCTTCATATTGTACGCACAGAAATTACAGTGGTGAAATTTGCAACGCCAACAACCTCAAAAGCGACAGGAGAAAATGTGTGTGAAACATTTTTATACCCAATGCGAATATTTGCTTAGCGCTCATTTTTGAATTTTTTGATTTTTTAAATGTCAAAAAAAGTCATACATAATGCATTGCTACTTTGGCAAGGGAGGAGAGAAACTGTTTGAGAGCAGCTTTCAAGCGATCACCTCACTTTTTTGGTTATAGCTTATAATAATTAATAATAAAATATAAGTTACAGCTAAAGCTAAATCCGTTAGCAGTGGCAACATAACCTCAACACACTCAGACTATATAGTAAAGATTGGAATAATACTAGATAGCTAGCATGTTGCTAAGTAATTAGGATGTTAAAAATTTATGGAAATCTTAAATCTACTCAAAAATATAGGGACTTGAATAAGTTTAATACTCTGCAAAACTATAATTTTGCTTAATATTACATAAAGCAGTGCAATCTTCAAAATAATCTGACGTAAAATAGTTTTTTTCTAAAGATAGGAAAACTGTTGATGAAGTTGAATGCTTCATATCAGTTTTTTTAAACTTACAGGTGACTTAGATTCATCGTTAAGATTCAGTCTTTTTTCTTTTGTTGTGAATTAGCTTATAAATGTTGTACGAATAATGGTAAAAACTTTGTTTGTGAAATTATTTTTACGCAGAGTAAGTAAATTTATATATGTACTTACTATTTGTCTGGTTTTGGAAGAATTTTATTGTTTTCTGGAATATATAATTTTATTGCTACACATTGCTAAAAGCCTAGTAAATTTACTAGTGGGTTGGGTATCGTACTATTTTGGTTAAACATAAATACATATGTACTTATATACTGGTACGTCTTCAAGCCGTTTAACATCGTTTCTACACCGTAAAAGACCGATGAAATATATGAAGTTGTATAAATTTCAGCGATACCCACGCCAGTTGCATACTTAAATCGTATACTTATGTGTAACAAAATATATCTACATATGCACCATTTCGTCAGTTATTTGTAGCTTAAGTGCATTTTACATCAACAAATTATCACATAATTTTTTGCCCATTGAGACAGAATGTAAAGATAGGTGTGAACCATATGATATATGAACCTCAGCTCTTTGAAGAAAAGGCGTAGAAAATATGGAGGAATGGTTAGGGACGCATTATTTTGTGAATCTTAGTGTTTGAATATAGTGAATAAATTTAAAGAAAATATATGTACACACATTATTATACCCTGAACAGGGTTTATTAAGTTTGCCGCGAAGTTTTTAAAACTTAAAAGGAACCGAACTATAAAATCGTTTTGAAACTTTGCTTACGTCACTTTCTCCACAAGCAGCTGCTCATTTATTGGAACACTATAGCATATAATATAAATTCCTTGTATGGAATGCTTTTCATTTTAAGAGATATCACCAAGAAATTTGGCATGGGTTAAGGCAACGGTACAATCTTCGAAAATATTATTCGGATCGAATCAATACATGCTGTATATATAGCTCCCATACAAACCCACTGATCAAAATAAAGTTCTTGTATGGAAATTTTTTTATATGTGAAGTGTATTAAAGCTTCGAGGTTGTGTTTTTTTCTTGTTTTAGATAAGATAAATCAAGAAATAGGTATGGCAATATAGGTAAATATTTCGGGAACTACGAATTCGTAATTGGAATCTAGAACCAGAGAATATACTAAACACTGCAATGACATTTTTTGTGACTACTTGCCCAGATAAAACAGGTAAGCTCAATAACGGCAAATACGTGCCTAAATATATTGTAGAACATTATAACAACAAAGGCATTGACTGCCTTGGTGATTAATAAGCGATTTTCCACATAGTACGGGCAAATTGATTGATCATTAATAAAATAAAAAACAAAAACTAATTGACAATCAGGCGGCAATAAATAATAAATTATTGATAATAAAAACGTAATCGCATATGTAAAGAAATTGCGAAAACGCGTCAACGTCAACAGTGTCTAGGCGAGATACATTTCTACAGCGTTATACGGGGGTGTTTGTGCATGCAATACGAGTGTGTATGTTAATTAATTGCTTATTTCACTTTCAGCCAATGCAAATTACACTGCTCGCTCAGACGAACAATTTTGATTTGCAAGCAATCGACCAAAAAGGCTGCCACGCTACCAGACAGTCAGACAATTACACACAATTTAGATAGACGATCACACGCGTGAAACAAGAAGGAACAAACACATGCAGACACATCGTGCATTTACATATGATGCCCGCTCTGCCCACCCAATCGACTGCCTAGCGATCACGAAGAAAAATTGCCACAACAACAAGTGTCTGCTTCTATAATAATAAAAGAAGTTATTTTGCCATCTTCTCCAATTTTGAAGATAATGCTCTGAATCTGAACGAACGAATCTGTCTCAAAAGCTTCAAGCTATGTCTGAAAATTAGCAGGAATAAAAAAAGATGTTCTAAACTAAACTGCGCTTACCTCTAAACTTTGTTTTGACCAAGTTTCGAACCGAAG